TCTTAGAGTTTCTTTATTATTTTTTAAATTATTTAAGCGAATCTTTGTTGCCTTGTGAAATTATTCGGTAATTTCTTTTTTAGAGATCTTGTCAGAATTTTTCTAATATTTTCTCGCATATTCTCTGCGTAAGCATTTTTTGTTTTGTTTTTCCAAATACAAAGCAAACGACTCCAATCGGGGTTAACAATTACATAAAAGTTTCAATTTTATGTAATAACAAATCCAAATTATTACCAAATAGCAACCCAGGTGTGTATAAGCTTAGGTATTCATGCAGTGGCGTTTATATTAAAGAAACAAAAAAGAAAATTATTCAAAGAAGTATTAGGCATCAGGTAAACAGCATGAAAGGTAATTGGTATGCTTTCGTAGCGACAGAACAATGCAAGGACCACCAAGGTTTATTTAATTTGATGCATCCCAAAACAATTGCATTTAATTCTAACTACCATGATAGAAAAATGGGAGAGTCCCTTGAGATTGATTATGCCAAAGCGAATTACGAGACGTGGCACTTCTTACATCTGAGAAGTTTTTTTTTTATGCTATGAAATGTTTTTTCTTGTGTTTTTAAATGAAATTTCTTCCCTTTTCTACATTTTTTTTTCATTACCTTTTTTTAGTACTAAAAATATCAATATAGACATTTAAAAAAAACTTGTTTATTTAGTGTTTTTATAAAAGCTATTACTGATTTTTCTTTCGATCAATTGAATTCTGAAATCTTGGCATGTATGCTTTACTAAATTCTTTTATTCCTGTGGTTTTCTGTCTTAAAAAATGTCTTTAAATGTCAATAGAACATTTAATCTACTACTTCCACTGAAGTTAATAACAAATTTTGATTTTTTTATTACACTGTTTTTAAAATAACTTTTTAATTACATGATTGTGCAAGTAATAATGATATTTGTTATAGTTTGAACCTTATTCAATTATTAAAAAGTTTCATCTCAATATTTGGAAATATTGTTAATCAACACCTTCAAATATACTTTGAACATGCCTAAAAGTTGCATTTCAAATTATTTTAATTAGTGATCGCTGCTCCTTTGCTAGACCAACTGAGTACTGAGTTTAACACGATGTTTAATGAAACAACTTTTAAAGCACCTGTTTTTTAGTTTCTTTAATCTAATCTATAATTTTTCAAAAAACAATTGCAGATAATAAATGTTCTTGTTATACTAGTTGGAAAGACCATATCATAACTTTAAGTGCTATTTATTTAAAACAGACTTTATTAGGCTTATTTATTATTGCCAAACCAGGGGCTTTATTATGTGAGTTCGACCTTAGGGAAATTTAGTTAAACTTCATTTAACTGGCTGAATTTCAAAAAAAGAACTCTAATCTAATAATATTGAAACATAATAAACAACAAACCTTTTCTTTACTGAGTTGTCTAAAAGGTTATAAAAGAATGGTAAGAAGAAGTTGCAAAGTAAAGTCGTACATAAAGCCTAAATGGTTTAGTTTAGCTTTTCACACAGAGTTTTCTATAGATAATAAACAAGTTTGTCATAAATAAAGTTCAAACATAATAAAAGTATAATTTCAAAAAATATCTTTTTAAATTTGCGTTAAAATTTTACTGCGCGAAAGTTTTTAACCGTTCAAACTTCCTTTGCGGTAAAATAATTAAACTTGGAAAAGATTACTACATCTGTCCAACAACATCTGTGGAGTAGTGAATTTAGGATGTTATTGCACGGATGTTATTATACATCGATGAAATTTCGGATTTTGTTTCACGGATGTTATTATACAAGGCAAAAACGGATGTTATTGCCCTGACCCATTATACTGAGGTAGTAATATTTTAACGTTAAAATTTTACTTCACTCGTTATAATCTTATTGGCTTCTTAATTTACAATTTATATAGCTTATTTTGTCAAGATGTACAAAAATATTAACTTTAATGATGTCAGGAAATATTTAAATGACAATGCTTTTTCTGAAGATGTGAATGAAAAAGGAAAAAAAGCAAATTTTAAACGGCAGTGTAAAAACTTTGTTATTGTTGACAATAAGTTGATGTATTGCGAAAAAGGTATTGGCGAGGTAAGGAAAACTTGTTATCATAAAAGAAGTTTTTATTTAATTTAAAAGGTTTTACTTAAATAAAATAAAGTAATTAAACAATATTCTGTGTTGTGCATTATTTTGAATTAACACAACATTTTTCAAAAATTCGAAAATTTATAGCTTTAAACAACTCAAAATAATGTAAAAATTCCATACAAATAATTTTTTTTTTATTGTAGGTGATTGTGATAATAGATCGGGAAGAAAAATTAAACACTGTTAAAGAAGTCCATGAGGGTCTTGGTACTTCTGAGAAAGCTGTTGCATTGGCTAGCCACTTAAGAATTAATGCTGTGAGAAAGCAAATTTCTTCAAGATTTTTTTGGCATTCAATTGTGGAGGATATCACCAAACATGTTGCTCAATTGTGAACGATTCAATGGGGGTATTCACCATTTTACCTTATGTATAACCGACAACCCTGTCTTCCAATTGATGTAAAGTACACAGATGTACTCAATGGGGATAACTACAATCCTGTATACAATAAAGAAGTTTTACAAAAAGCTTTACAAATGAAAAGAGGGCTTGAAGAAAAAGCCATGACCAATGTTGTTTGTGCACAAAAGAAACAAAAAATTGACTATGATAGAAAGCATGCAACACCATTAAATTGTTTTGTGAGTCAAAAAGTATTATTGAAAAATTTAAAAAGAGAAAATAGAAAAGGTGGAAAAATGACTTTCTCGTGGCTTGGTCCACATGAGATACTTGATATTTTGTCAAACTCGACATGTTTATTAAGAAACATTAAAGGGAACAACACAATAAAGAAGAAGTACTCTCTACATCATGTTAAACCATTTGTTGAAGAGAAAAGTAATTTAAAATTGCATAGTTTAACTTCTGAGTGCAACGATCAGGATAAAAGTTAACGTAATTCCAAATTAATGAAACATCCCAACAAAAAAATTTTCAAAAAAATAGCTGAAGAACAAGGACTTAAAATATTTATAATGCCAGATCTTTTTAATGGAGAAGAAAATGATGTACGTTCAAAAATACATGTTTGCAAAGGTGATGGCAATTGTTTTTTTCAAGCAATTTTGTTTTTGCTGACAGGTTCTAAGTGTCAACATATACTTGTTTGCGATGTTGTTAAACATATGATATCAAAGCCTTGTTCCAGTCTTTTGTCCGGATATTTAGGCGATGATGCGGAAAACTACATTACCAAAAGTGGTATGGCCACAGATAGTATATGGGCTACAGATGTTGAGATCCTTGGTACTGCAAATCTTATTGGAATTGACATTGCTGTATGGTCCTTCACTGGACAAAAACTAGCATGGCTCAAAATATCCAGCATCCATAGTATTCTTGTAGAAAATAAAAACAATCATTATAATGTTGTTTTGTCACTAAAAGCTTTGTAAATGAAATGATGTTTATACTGAACTAAAATGATGTTCGTATATCAGTTGTTTTACATGTTGTTTGATATAGAAAAATAAACAATTTGCTCAAGGTTGCATATTCTTTACAATTTAAAAAAACGTAAATAAACTTGTTTGTAACAAAACTCTACAGAAGTGATTTTATGGATTGCTAGGCTATTTAATTTATTCTAAGATAAGATTTTGTCGCACAATAAAAGAAAATCGCTTTACTTGATGACAGTAAAATTATAACGAGTGCAGTAAAGTTATAACGTTTAAATATTACTGTCTCAGTAATATTTTAACTTTATTATTTTACCGCAAAGGAAGTTTGAACGGTTAAAGACTTCCACGCAGTAAAACTTTAACACAGTAACTAAAAAAAATAGGGAGGGGGCATAATTTTTTTTGGACTTGAACAAAAATTTTCTGTAAACGCCCCTGCAACCTACCTCCAATCTTAACAAAACAAAACTTTTAAATTCAAAACAATTTGTTTAATGTGCTCAACCATAGTATATAAACCGTGGTAAATTTAAAGCTTCTTTTAATATTTTTAATCTTTACCTTTCAATACCAGTTAAAGATTTAACTGATATTTTATTAGAACAACTCCGTAATATCTTTAATTTAAAGTTATATTTTTTCAAGATAAATATACTTTTAGATTTCTGTTTATTGAACTGTTTTTTTATGAAAACAATATACACGCATTTAAAGATGGTAGTCATATCAGTTTTTCATTAATGGTAGATTTTGGCGGAGAGTTTTCTGTAGCATGAGTGCTTGCATTAATGGTGGAGAGTTTTCATGTAGCAATAGTGCTTGCATTAATGCAAGCACTATTTGTGGTACTATTTAAAAGGTACGTTTACGATATTCATTCTAATTTAAACTATGAGTCAGAATCAGAACGTTTTCTTAAGTTGTTAAACAATCAACATACAAATATAATTTTCTTATTTAGGACGTAGGAACTATTTAATGTTTGCTTCTTTTACTAAAAATAATGTATAATATATAAGGCCATGAAAACAAAAGTGGTGTAACTTACAAATTTACAAAATTTGTTTTTTTAGCGTAATGTAACTCTATAAAAAACTTAAAGAAATGTCTCAATAGATGGTTAAAACTGAAAAGCTGCTATGAATTCAAAAACAAGTAAGATAATTCAATTAAATAACTGTGGAATTTTATTTTTACTATTTTCTCCATTGTTTTAATATGTTGCTCACACCACTTTTATTCTCATGGCCTCCTATATAAAAAAAATTATTTAATAAAGTCTTTATTAAAGATAAAATTAATTAACCAGAAATAGATGTTTTAATTTTTTGAGGCGTAATGTCTTTATCATTTATTTTGTTTTTTTAAATTTAATTATCAATTATCATGCCTACGTTAGTTTGCGACAAAAAAGTATTCTTTTGTAACTGGCCTTTACGCGATTGTACTCAGGGTAATTTTCCGTTCCGGCATTTAGCTTCAATTTGTCTTAAATTACGAACTTAAGTATAAGTTATTATAAACAGTTACGAACCAATTAGTAACAACGATTCAGACGTTCGAAATGTAAAAAAATCTAACTATGACACCTGAAGATGGGGTTAACGCCGTTACTGAACTCTTTGATGCCATTTTTGGAGAAGATTATGAATGTTTGAGAAATGTAGAATGTATTTTAGAAGAATATATTAACAAGAAAAAAAAATTATTATTCACGGTATATATACTTAGTTTCCTATTATGAAACGAATTGAAAGTATGATATTATGGCAAAGGTTGTATTTTACAAATATAATCAATAGAAAGTTTTATTTTCCCCACTCCATAAAGAACATTGTTTTGTAATTTTCTTTATGGCATTAAGAAACTGTGTATGGTTTGGCCAGGAACTAACTACCATGTAATTGCACATACTTCAAAAGTGCTTGATGAATTCGAATAGAGCTACAACAATATTATAGCTCTATTCAAATTTAGCAACCACTTTTGAAGTATGTGCAAATATATACTATTTTGAAGTACTTTTAAACGCTTTTGAAGTATTTGCAATGAAACACTTTTGAAGTATGCATGTATTATTAATATATATATTTGTTAAAAAAGAAAATTACGTGATTTTTACAACTTACATTAATTCCATGATTTTACAAGTTTTATGCTATTTGCAATCATCAAGTAAAATATAAAATATATTGTGTAAAGATTATTAGGTCACCTTACAGTATATGCCTGATTGATAAAATTGCAAAAGTACAGCGTTTCTTTACTAAAAGAATTGTTGGCCTGTGGTCAGTTCCTTATGATAAGCATCTAGCCATATTAAAGGTCAATACGTTAGAACATTGAAAAATGTTTAAAGAATTAGCTTTATGTTACAAAATTCTTAATAGTAAACTGGACCTATCAAATGTTCTTATTCTTAATTCTTATCTTATGTTCTTACTCTTAATTCCTATTAAATGTTCTTATTTTTAATTCTTAATCATGGTTATAACTTTAAACTGTACAAACACCATTGTAATTTAAACAATGCCAAATGTTTCTTTTCTAATCAAATTGTTAATGTATGGAATAGTTTATTGGAAAATGTGGTATCTGCATCATCTTTGTCTATGTTGAAGAACTATCTCGTTAAATTTGTTAATGTATAATTCAGTGTTAGTGGCCTTCGGGTCCTTCTGTGGTTTTAAAATAAATAAATTAGTTTTATGCTATTTGCCATCATCATGTAAAATATAATATCCTTCTATTTGAATAACTGATCCCTTAAACTGATTTTACGCCTGATGATTGTGAATAGCATGAAACTAATAGTCGTAAAATCATGTAATACATAATTGATTAAAATTATGAATCATTGCTTGTCATGTGATTGACATCAATGATTTTGCACAGTACTTTTTTTAAAAAAAAAATGGATATAAAAACGCTATACTCCAGGTAGAATTATTTCATGGCTGCTATTTCTCATTGAAAGTATATTAAAAATGAGTTGTAGAGATATAATATTTTTCTTGAAATACTTACAAGCTATTTTTATAAAACTATTTTTATCTATTTTTATAAAACTATTTTTATCTATTTTTATAAAACTAACTATATGATCGTGAAAAATTGCAATTTCCGCACATGATCATACATGAACTGCATTTAAATGGTTGCTGTGATTCTATGATACATAGCACAATCCTATAATTTTCTGAAAATCTTTACTAGTATATGAATTATTATTTAAAAAAAAAAAGTCAATTTTTTGCATTGATTCCATTTAAAACCTAATTTAAAACTTAATGAAAACATTACTTAAGTATACCATTCTTTGTTTACAAAATATTTACATAGATTGGAATTAAATGAGAGTAAATTAGAGATTTTATATTATTAAAATAATAGTTATTACATATACAAGTTTTTGTAATTTAAGATTTGAGTAAAAAAAAATTTGTTTAAGTGAAATAAGATTTTTTGTAAATTGGCTATTTTTAAATTAATTTTATTTACTATTGAAGTAATCTTATTGGTTTATTATTCCTATTTTTGTCTGTTAATATTTATGTGAAGTCTTTCATTTTTAATATATATTCCAGAGCTTTTCTTTATGTAAAAATAATTTTTTGAAGATAAATACCATTTTTATGTTTTAAGTTAGTAAAAGTTAGACAACAAAAAAATTAAGTTAATTATGGAATGTAATTAAATTGCCTTTTTTTTTTAAAAAAAAAAGCACAAAAACAAAACTTTATTGACTCAAATTTTTTTTTAAATTCAGAATGTTCTTCTTCTTTTTCTTCTTCTTCTTCTTCTTTTTCTTCTTCTTCTTCTTCTTCTTCTTCTTCTTCTTCTTCTTCTTCTTCTTCTTCTTCTTCTTCTTCTTCTTCTTCTTCTTCTTCTTCTTCTTATTATTATTATTATTATTATTATTATTATTATTATTATTGCTATTATTATTATTATTATTATTATTATTATTATTATTATTATTATTATCATATTTATTATTATTATTATTTGTATACTTTTTTTTTAATTCTTGTTTTATTGACTGATTTATTTAGTGGTTAGCACAGTTGAGTGTTAATACATTTAATGACTATCTTGGGATAATGGATTGTTCAGACATCGCCTAAGGGTTTTGGTTTGGGAATCAGTCTATTAATTTATTAAAAAATTATTTTCTCAAATTTTAAGATTTTTTCCAGTTTTAAAATTCTAAATTAAATAATATTAGACTATATCTTTCATTAAAAGAAAAACAATTGTTCTGTTCTTACTATTTGACATAAACTAAACTATGGAAGTAGTAAATGTTTTTTTTTGTTAATAACTAAGTATTCAATACAATTATGTTGTTTCACTCATTTTAGCTTTTTACTCAGATGTGACCTAATTAAATAACTTATGTAGTAATGTCTTTGACATTAAAACACTTGTGCATTATTGTTTACTATTTTGTACTTTTATAAATAGTGAAGTAGTCAATACTTCTTTATTCATTAATGTTTTGATATTTTTTAAATCTGAAAGTTCTTAAAAATTTTTTATTTTTGTCATTTTTTTGGTTAAGATATAAAATCTGGAATTTTTTAAAGTTTTTTAAAAAATGTTTCTGTTGCATAATACATAAATTATATATTGAATAAGTATTAAATATATAATTTTATTTGCCTCTAGTAATAATGTAAACATTTACATCCACACAATTTTTTAGAAATAGTTTGAAACTAACATAGTTAAAATTGAAATATCCCTTGTCCCTTATTAAAATTAAAATATCGCTTGTCCTTCTTAAAGGAGTGTTTTGGAATAAAAAACCATTTTAGACTTTATAGTTCTAGGGATCTATAAAAAAACATTTTTATGAGCTAGAAATTGAAAATAAATGCTGTTTTTTTTACCAACTTTGTCATGTTTTATATAACTGTGTATTATGTTTTCATTATATTTTTTTTATTCTTAATCAATTAGCATAAATTTTTAAACTTTTATTAATTCTAAACTTGTCAGACATTTCCATTTAGAGTCAGGTAGTAAAGACAAAGCTATGACATAATCTTCTCATATGGAGATATATATTTTTCGACATTGCATGTGATTTCTTCGGCTCTTTTAATTTCTCTTTTAATTTTTCTTTGTCTCTTTTAATTTTTCTGTTGGGTCTGTATATTTTTTGAAGATAAAAATTATTTCTATAAATATCCCTAGCAGTTGAAATAACATTTTTGAAAGTATCAAAAAAAATCTTTATAAAAATTAAGAATAAAGTGAAAAAGTTTCAATTCAAGATCATTAACTTAACTCTCTATATATACTTTCCAAATAAATCTCTAGATATCTCTGTTTCTAACATTATAAGTTTATTTTTGATCTGTAATTTCTGCTTTCTTCCTGATCCTGCTTTTCAGCTAATTAATTTTTCAGTCAACACAATTCTTTAAACTGTAGATTTACTACATTTGACTTAATTAGAAATTATACAAAGCTCAATCCTACATTGTGTAATTAGTTGGGTGCAATCTGGTTGGGTGCAGTTGAGGTATGCTACTTTATTTAAGTCTTAAACATGTTTTCTTATTAAAAAGTATAAATTAAATTTTATTTTGTAGTCCCACATTTAAGTTGATTTTTTTTTCTTAATGGAGAATATGGTGTAATATTGATTATTATTTGGAAATTAAAAAATATAACATAAAACGTCTGTTTTTTGAGGACAGAATCTATGAATGAATGTGTATGTATAGGGGAAGTAGGGGCATAACCACTCCTGTAATGTTTGAATTAATGTTATATGAAAATAAAAGCAAATGTGTCTTTTTAACAATTTATTTCAATAAATACATTATTAAGCTTTAAATTGCTGCAATCAAGAAAAAAAAAATTCTGAAAATGTTTTAATACAAAAAGTACTTTTAGTGAAAAAAACGCTTTTGCCCTCATTGTGAGGCACAACCACACCCTCACATAAATTGTTAAAAGTACACTTTTCTTGGTACATTTTTTTTAAATTAAGAAATGCACAATTATATATCTATAATATATAAAAATAATATAATAATTATCAGATATACATAAATAAAACAAGATATCGATTTATATTCTTAGCTTTATATTTTTATCAAAAACTCATTTATAAAAATTGAATAAAAAAAAAAAAAAAAATCTTATTTCCAATATCTCCAAACAAAACCACTTTTATTCAAGTTTTTACATGAACGCATTCAAGTGTGACGATTGTATATATTGTTATTCGTAATTACCTAACTTTGATAATCAAAAAAGTATGTGGTTGTGCCTCTTGTGCATCTATGCAGTTCTGACCCAGTGGAGGGTTTCTAGAAAGAATACAGTTTCATAGCTTGCTTATTAGGTTATGTTGATATCAAAAATGGTGAAATAACACTGATAACACATATCTTTAACACTAAAATCAAGTATTGCCTAATCTTCAAAAGAAAGGTCTGGAAAAATATGATGTAAATATATCTCAGAAATGTATTAGGCACTTTTTGACAATAGCGAAATGAAGGAAACTGTTTTACCAACGTGTGGTATGTTTTTTGCCATATTAGATTATATTTATCAAAAGGAAATATTAAAAGACGGTCGTGCCTCCATATGCATTTATGCCCCCACTTTCCCTATATATATATATATATATATATATATATATATATATATATATATATATATATATATATATATATATATATATATATATTA